TCTCTCTACCCCCGCCTCACCCCTTCAGTCCCCACCCGAATCACTAGCCTACTGAATGACATATCAGATTGGATGTCACTCCACTTCCTCAAATTAAACCTTTCCAAAACCGAGCTCCTAGTTTTTCCCCCAACCCACGCCCCCCCCCCCCGACTTCTCCATCACTACCAATAACATCTCCATCAGTCCCCACCCCGCAAGCCAGAGTACTAGGTGTCATTCTAGACTCCAATCTGTCTTTTCAGCCCCAGGTCCAATCACTGACAAATTCATGTAGACTCCACCTCCGCAACATCTCAAAAAATACATCTGTTCCTAACCCCAGAAACTACTAAGCAACTCATTCACTCCCTTATTATATTACGACTTGACTACTGTAACTCCCTCCTCACCGGCTTACCTCATCACAGGCTATCCCCGCTTCAGTCAATCCTGAATTCTGCGGCCAGACTCCTTACTAATCCACCTTACTAACCGCTCCGTATCCGCTACCCCCTCTGCCAATCCCTCCACTGGCTTCCGACTGCCCAACGCATAAAATTCAAATTACTAACATTGATGTACAAAGCTGTTCATAACACTGCCCCAAACTACATCACCGACCTGATGTCCATATACCACCCAAAACGTACTCTCCGCTCCTCACAAGACCTCCTACTCTCCAGTTCCTTGGTCTCCTCCTCCCATGCCTGTCTCCAGGACTTCTCCAGGGCTTCCCCCATCCTCTGGAACTCACTACCCCAATCCATCAGATTGTCACCTTCCCTCCTCACCTTTAGGCGCACCCTGAAAACCTATCTCTTCAGGGAAGCCTACCCCGCCCTCACCTAATTGCCAATCTCCTCCACTCTTCCTACCACTCCATCCCCCACAGCTATTTCCTCCTGTATCACTATCCCCTCCCTCCTAGATTGTAAGCTCCAAGAAGCAGGGCCCTCAACCCCTCGTGTATTGTACTGTATTGTTACTGTACTGTCTTGTGTACTGTCTCCCATTATAATGTACAGCGCTGAGCAAACTATTGGCGCTATATAAATACTGTATAATAATATTATTAATAAAACAACAAGATTGCATGGACATGGGCTCAAAATGGATAAAATGTCAAGGGAATAAAGGCACATAAAACACCAGTTGGGGCACTGTCAAAAATGACTTAACAGGGAATATGGACATAAAAACAGCCAAATATCACTGGAAAATAAACACAACGGCCACATGGTGTGAAGGAATTTTGAGACTTTGAGGGTTTCTTGCCATTCAAATGTGCCATTACAGGAAACTTTATTGTAAGGCCCGGCAGGACAGAAGAAAATATCATGGATTCATTCAACACCTAGAATAAATAGGACATCTTTGCAAAGGCATGCAAATGATTTCTTACTTGATATCATATACTACTTCATTTTGCTTTTTGGCATATTATGCAAATGTACGTTGTTTTGTTATTAGTGTTGCTATTTTGTGTTTTTTTTATTGTGGGTGTTAAACTGTTGTTATTATAAACATAGAGCTGCATATGGTGGTTGCTGTATTGTAAGCACGGCATTATAATAATGGTACTGATACTTTATTCTGAAAATTAGGAGAAGAGCACTTTTTGCTAGTTGCTTTCTTTTAATATAGCCATTCCTTTTTGTGTATCAAAATCCAAGAGCACAAAATGTATATGTATTGCAGCTCACCAGTCCTTGGCTTCATTAGTTTTATTTTTTCAGGCTTTTTTCCATTTTTTTTAACCTGGTGATCTTGTCAGTAACAAACTTCCTGTACCAGAGTGAAAACTCTAAATTATAGTACTGTATCTATGAAGAAGCAGTGTTGTCATCCTAGGACAGGACTATAGAACGCCTCGCCATACCTTCTTTTCCAAAACATAAGGTGTATGTGTTTTGTAGTCCACAAAGAGAACTGAAAACTAACTGAAAAGAGTGCAGCACAGGAAGCTATCAACTGCATTTCTGCCAGGATCAAAATATTTTTTCATTGTTTTTTAATCATTTACCGCCCGCCCAGCCGCAATGTACTGCGGCTGGGCGGCAGCTACAGGCAAAGCGACATACCTGTTTGTCGCTTTGGCTGTACTAACACAGGGGTGTGCATCGCTCCCACGACTGCTGTTTCACAGTGGAATGAAGTTCTCAGTGAATGGACCCGGTGACCATGTGATCACTATCACATGATCACGTTAGCAAAGCTGTTATGAATCAATTTCATTCATAAAAGCTCTGCTTCTCTTCCTAGTGAGCTGTGATTGGCCCACAGCTGTCACAGCTGATACATGGGGCCAATCACAGCACCCTGTACCATGTGACCTGCTCCGCCAATCACAGATCACTATCTCGAGCTGTCAAAAACCTAACTCATTCAAAAAAAAAATTTAAATCCTGATCACACCCCCCCCCACAGTAGTACAATGTTACTATGGTAAAATTGTACTATTCTGCTAAAAGTATTTAAAAAAAAAAAAGTTAACATAAAAATAAAATAAAAAATACCCATATTGAGAATTAAAAAAAAAATTTAATGGTTTTCTCTTTTAACTACTCGCCGACTACTTACCTGGTGAGCAGTGGCTCTGGGCAAAGCAATTTAATTTTATGTTGCTTCATATTTCGGGGTGTCAATATGCCTGCACCCTCCTCTGCCCTCCCCCCCCCCCCCCAGTCGATTCAGGGAAAGAAGACAGAGAACATGGCACTGAGTAAGATCACTAAATTTTACACACACATGTGTGAAATTAGCACATTTAGCTCTTTGATCGCCCCTATTAACCCTTTGATCGCCCCGTTACCCAGACAGTGCCTTTAGTACAGTGTCAGTATATATAATTTTTCACTGATCACTGTATTCCTGCTACTAGCAACATCACATAGCGTCAGGGTCAGTAAACTCCCCTCACAGCCAGGGTCAGCTAGCGTTATATTGACCGCACTCTATCGCACTCACACTTTAGGTCTCTAATCACCACCATTAATAGTATAGTGTTTGCACAGATCAATATAATGATCATGAACAGAACTATACTAGTGCCTGCTTTGTATAGTGTCTCCAAAAATGCAGAGTTAGCAGCATCTGCCCTGTTCGCTGCCAGCAGTAACATTTAACCCCTTCACTGTTTTTTACAGAGATTTGACCCAATTGACTGTGGGCTAAGGCAATTTAAACGGATAACAATACATCACCGCCCATCCAAATTCAGCTTTTGCCAGACAATTCGCATGGAAACCTATCACAGTACTGGTACGTCGCTGGACTTTGTGTGGTTATACCGGGATGATGCCTGCAGCTACAGACATTATCCTGGTATCGGTGTATTTCAGCTGGCAGTTGGTATTCATGTAAAAGAAAACCTAGTGGCCTGTTAGCTGCTGAATCATTTTTACAAGCAGCGGGAAGGGACACCCCCCCCCCCCCGCCACCTTCCACAGTTTTCTTCGGCTCTCCCGTCCCACAGGGGAATCCGAGAATCCAGTTCTGCTGGCTGACTATAGAGCTGATCAGAGACCAAAATGGCTCCAATCATCTCTATGGTCTAAGAGACTAGAAGCTATGAGCATTTCATAATTTTTGTTTCGCCAGACTTTAACAGCTCCATTTGTAAATTGGGAAAGCATCTGATCACACCGACCTTGGTGAGATCAGATGATGTAAGGGCAGAGGAGATATGTAGAGTCTAATATGCCCCAGATTTCTCAAAAAAGAATACCTGTCAATGCCTATTGCATTCACAGGGGATATTTGCATTCCCTGTGATGGCAATAAAAGTGATTAAAAAAAAAATAAAGGGATGGTATAAAAATAAGTAAAATAAGAGCACCCTAACCCCCCGCCCCCTGCGCACTTGTGCACCTGCATACGCAAGCGTTGACCCTTTGCCAGTATGTGAACAGCTGTTGCTTCATGAATGTGAGGTATCGCCAAGAATGACAGATTGAGGGCAGTAATTCTAGCACTAGACATCCTGTGGTCCAGTGCTAGAATACAAAAATTGGTGACCTGTAAAGGTTTTTAAAGCATCCCCTATCAATATTTAAAAATGTATGTATTTTGTTGCCACTGCACGAGCATGAGCAATTTTAAACTCATGTCATGTTTGGTATCTATTTACTCGGCGTAACATCATCTTTTATATTGTATCAAACAATTGGGCAATATATTGTGTTTTGGCAATTAAAATTTCCCAAAAGATTTTCCTTTGAAAAATTGCTGCACAAATACTGTGTGATGTAAAAAATTTCAACACCCACCGTTTTATTCTCTAGGGCAGGGGTGTCCAAACCTTTTTCAAAGAGGGCCAGATCGAATGAAGTGAACATGGTGGAGGGCCGAACATTTTTCCGAACATTCTTTGAACCATTACAATTAAATGCAAATAAATTATTTTATGCCAAGTTAATTGCAAACGACATACTTTTCATTTCATAACATTAAGATCAACTGACAGCTGAGTTTTCACAATGTATTGAAAATAAATTAAAAAAAAAACTTACCTGCACTAATGTGAAGGGTGAAAAAGGTAGCTGGAGCTGAAGTTTCTGCTCGGCAGCCGGGAGGGGAAGAGAAACACACTTCACGCTGGAAGCCCGGGCCTGACGTCACCGCCCTCTGTCGCTCCCAGCGCGGCGCAGTCATGCATGCGCACTGCTCTCAAGCAGAAGACTGTCTGCCACAGAAGGGAGGGCCGTGCGACAGCCGCATTTACACAGACCAGGGAGAACGCGCCGCAGTCAGGCATGCGCACTGCCCTCTGCTCTCAAGCAGAAGACTGTCTGCCATAGAAGGGAGGGCCGTGGGAGGGCCACATTACACAGAGCAGGGAGGGCTGTTGGAGGGCTGTATTAAACCAACTCCCGGGCCGTAAATGGCCCGCGGGCCGGACTTTGGACATGCCTGCTCTAGGGCCTCTGCTTTAAAAAATTATATAATGTTTGGGCGTTCAAAGTACCGTATTTTTCGCTCCATAAGACGCACTTTTTTCCCCCAAAAAAAGGGGGGAAAATGTCAGCGCGTCTTATGTAGCGAATATGGAGCGGCCAGTCCGGTATTTCCACCGCCGCCGTGTCAGAATACAGGGCCGGCCGCTCAGCTCTGCAGCGGGACCTTACCTGTTCCTCTATGCAGCACCGCGCTGTCTTCCCAGCTTCTGTAGTGTGGGCGCTCGGCTTGACAGCCGGGTGCCCAGTGCGCATGCGCGGGAAGTGGTGCGCTTTGTGACAGCCGCTCCCCCCCTCCCCAAAGGTCGGCAGTCATCTCCTGTACTGTCCTCAGTCTCTGGTCATCTCCTGTGCTGTCCGCAGTCTCTGGTCATCTCTTGTACTATGTCCGCAGTCTCTGGTCATCTCCTGTGCTGTCCGCAGTCTCTGGCCATCTCTTGTACTGTGTCTGCAGTCTCTGGTCATCTCCTGTACTATGTCCGCAGTCTCTGGTCATCTCCTGTACTGTGTCCGCAGTCTCTGTTCATCTCCTGTACTGTGTCCACAGTCTCTGTTCATCTCCTGTACTGTGTCCGCAGTCTCTGGTCATCTCCTGTACTGTCTCCGCAGTCTCTGGTCATCTCCTGTACTGTGTCCGCAGTCTCTGGTCATCTCCTGTACTGTGTCCGCAGTCTCTGGTCATCCCCTGTACTGTCTCCGCAGTCTCTGGTCATCTCCTGTACTGTGTCCGCAGTCTCTGGTCATCTCCTGTACTGTGTCTGCAGTCTCTGGTCATCTTCTGTACTATATCTGCAGTCCATTGGTTTAGAATATTTTTTTTCCTGTTTTCTGCCTCTAAAACCTAGGTGCATCTTATGGTCAGGTGCGTCTTATGGAGCGTAAAATACGGTAATTTTCTAGCAAAACAGTTTTTTTTCATGTGAACAAAAAGTGTCAGAAAAGGCTTGGTCATCAAGAGTGGGTGATGTGTGGCATAAGCTTCTAATGATGGCCTTGAAATGCCAGGATAGTAGAAGCAACCCCTCCAAATGACCCCTTTTTGGAAAGTAGACACTCCAAGGTAGTTTCTAAGAGGCATGGAGAGTATTGTTCAGATCTCATTTGTTGCCACATGTTTTTGGAAAACACAGATAGAAAATTAAAATGTATTTTTTCTTTTCTTTTTTTCTTTTTCAAAACCCTGTGACAAACATGATAACTGTAAAATGCCCATCATGCCTCTCATCAAATTCCTTGGAGTGTCTACTTTCAAAAAAGGGGTCATTTGTGGGGGGGAGGGGAGGGGGGGGTGTTTGTACTATCCTGGCATTTTAGGGCCTCCAAAACTGTGATAGGTAATAGGGAAGGGATATGAGGAAATATGCCCTTTAAAAGCCTGGAAGTGGTCATTGGATTTTGAGGGCTTGTATGTAGCTAAGCTGCCAGAAAGCTTCTCACATGTGGTATCCCCATACTCGGGAGAAGTAGGAGAATGTGTTTTGGGGGTGTTATTCCACATATACCTATGGCATGTGTGAGCAATATATCATTTAAGTGACTACTTTGTGTAAGGGGAAAATTGTCATATTTGAAAAATTTTGTGGCAAAAAATAAAATGTTCCAGGGACTCAACATGACTCTGCAAAATCCTTGGGGTGTCTACTTTACAAAAAGAGGTCATTTGGGGGGGGGGGGGGTTGTACTTCCCTGGTATTTTAGCACCTCAAGAAACGTGATGGCAGTCAGTAAGTAAAAGCTGTGGAAATTCTAATATATATACCATAGTTTGAAGACACTATAGCGTTCTCACAAACCAATTAATATACATGTATTGGGATTTTCTTTACCAAAGACATGTAGCAGAATACATTTTGGCCTAAATTTATGACCAACTTTGAGTTTATTGGATACTTTTTGTAACCAATATTGAAAAATATCTCTCAACCTGCTGTTCTCCGATGATCAGACTTTTCCCACATGCTCCCCCTGCACAGCCATTCACTGGGAAGACCATAGAGGCTTTTTCTCCACCCTCACCTCTCTATGCAGTTGAGAACAGAGGGTATGTGATCACCTATAAAATGAAGAGGGGGGTATTATATAATGTTTTGTATATCTATACACACATGTTTTGCCTTTCATTTCTATTTTAAACAGAATGTGTTGTTTTACAAGGTGGGGTTTTACATATATTTTAACAGCAAATAAATTAATAGCATTAAGAGGTATCAAATTGTTAACAAGATTATGCCATATATAGAGTATGCACAAAAACAGGCACATACATACACAAATAGTCAATGAGGCAGGAGCAGAGCTCCAGGAGAGACCTCAGTGAGCAGCTCAACTTGCAGCAAGACAGCTCAGGCAACCTAGTGGTATAGAGGTAAATAAATCTACATACCCTTTATGAGCAAAGATTCATTTACTAATTAAAGGTTTAGGTTGTGTTCCAAATTATTTTGGGAATAGACTAGAGTTGGTTGTAAATCTTAAAAAGGTTTTTTTATACATTCAGGCTTTGAGTATACTGTGATTCCAGCACTGACCTAAATTAGCTCACAGTTTTTCACTTCCTGGGATTATTCAGAAGATGTCCCCGGAAATCAAGTAACTGGTCTCCTCCCTTCAGTTTCCATGCTGTGGAAGCCTTTGTTAATCTGGTACACATAACAAATCGCAGTGGCACAACCATTCCCCGGGGAATCTAACCAGTGAGGAGTGGTTGGCTTTTAAGATTCTCTGAGAATATAGCAATTTAGTCTTTAAACCAGCAGACAAGGTAGATGCCACAATAATGCTGAATAAATGTGACTATCATAATGAGGTGAGGGCACAGAACTGTCAGATGGTAATATCCATTGCAAATTGCAGGGATATCCAGTAGTGGAAATTAAATCCAGAAAAAGATACTGTGTTTGGATTTGTAGCAGAATAGGATATTATTGAACATTTTTTTTATGTACTGATTTTCCACTGGCATCGTCATTTTATTGCCTCCCCAAGGTAAATAGGAGCATCACAAAATTGCTGGGGTGTTCCAATAACTAGTTTTTTCAGTCAATAGACATTTTTATGGGATTTTGGGTTTCAAAGTGACATTTGAATCACATTAGCCATATAGGGACATTACCTGAGGGTTGTTTTACTTGTAGTATGACCATGTGCAATTTCTACACTTATTCCATACACTTGGACTGGAGGTTGTGTTAGATGACATGTGTTTACCTCAAGGTGAGGTGTTTCCAAAAGTGTTTTGGAGAATATTCTTAATCTCCAGGACGACCTTCAGAAACCCATGGATTCAATTGCGGCCACCAAGGGGGCATATACGCCGGTGTCTCCCCACCCCCCATCAGCTGAGCCCTCCTCCACAGTCACTGTAAAGGTCCTGGACATGAAGTTGCATGCCCTATTACAGAATTGAACCCACGACATTACCAGAGAGATGGAAAAAAATTGCACAGGAGCTGTGAGGTGAGATAACCCACCTAGGTGAACGTCCTGACACACTGGAAACCAAATTCGATTAACTGCTGCAGTATGCCCACGTTTTGGAGGAAGACAACGTAGCATTTAAATATACTGTTTCACAACTTCAAACACAGCAAGAGGACCTGGAAAACAGGGAGAGGCACCAAAATCTTCAGATTAGTGGGGTTCCAGAAACCGTGAGTGAACATGACATTCTCCGTTATCTTTTAGGTCTTTAACCATGTTAGTTCCTCGTATACCTGACATCAATTGGTGTATGGATGGAGCCCACATGTCCTTGGCCCTTAAACATTACTGTGAAAGCAAAGAAGCTCTTACAGTGGTTACATGTAACAAAGCCCGCCTGGATTATAAAGGAGATAAGATTCAGTTTTTCAGCAACCTATCACCTATAACCCTGGCTAAACCTACTCCCTATCACCACTAATCTACAAAATCATTGAGTTACTTGCCACTGGGGGTTCCCTTTTCCTTTATCAGACTCAAAGGATGGGGTGCAGTACTGTATGCATGGAAAGTGAGGCTTTCATAAGCAATTTGGATCTACCACCTATCCCTGAGGAAGATTTTCTGCTTCCCCCTTCAACGCCATGGCCCCTTTCCACTCGGGGCAAGATCTGGATTCCTGTGAAGCAGAAATCTCAAAATAGATTCTCCACACCTCAAAAAGGTTCTTCTTGCAGGGACCCTACCTGAATGTTTCTGTTAACCTTGGCTGTTTACACCTTCAAGGGCGGACTTGGTGTTAACCGTACACTAATGTTCCCTATCAAGGGTTGTTGTTCCATTCCCATGGGATGTACGGTGTTTTTTCTTTTCAATATTTTTACCCTTTTTAATGCAGTTCCTCTGAGTTTTTAGCCTTGCTCAGTTTCTAGCTGGAGAGCGACAGGACCTCCCTGCCAGATTTTGGATGTCTCCATGCTCTCTACACTATCCATAGCTATGGTTCTGGACTTCTGAGTCACCTCGTCCTTAAATACTTCAAACTTATGTTTCTCGCCTTTTTCTTCAGGTCCTTTTTTGACCTGATTTTGACTCCATTTAATGACTTTTATGTTGACATTTTCTTTTTCTCTAATGGTGTATCTGATTTTGGTTTACTTTTTCCACACACCATGGGTTTCTCATCGTATATGGGCCTTATGGTTTATGCTTGCGTACACCTTTAATTTTGTGTCATGGCTGTACGAGTTCTTTCAAGAGGCTTGAACTCTATCTTCGGCTGCTGATGTGGTCATGATTAAGGAGACTCACTTCCATACCGGAGGTTCGTTTAAGTTTGCTTGTAAACATTTTCGTACCACCTATGTAGCCTCAGATGCTTCTGGGAAGGCTGGATTGGCAATTTTAATTAGACGTTCATGTCCATTGTGGATCAACTATGACTACATGGCATCTTCTCTAACTCTGGTTTTCATATATGCACCCAACTTGGTCAGACTCAGTTTCTTACAGTGGTCTTTGAGAAAATGCAGACACTCTCCCAAACCTTTATGATTACTGGGGGTGATTTTAACATGCATATTTCCAAAGTCAATCGTCTAGATGCATGGAGGGTTAAACATCCTACTCATAAACAGTTTACATTTTATTAATCCCCTCATAAACTCTATTCAAGACTGGACTATTTTTTTGTTGACAGCAACAACCTCCGAAATCAACCCTATTACATGGTCAGATCAAGTGTCCATAACATTAGATCTCACTCTAGTCAGCTCTTATTGCTAAGTCTTGTCATTGGCACCTCAATGAATCCTTTTTATGAATCCATTCTATTAATGACCAACTTGCATAGGGGCTGCCATAAGTTTTCCAGATTACGGGGGCACGGCGTCCAAGGCTTCCACCTTATGGAAAGCACATAATCATTTTTTTTAAGATGTGAATGCATTTTTGCTGGGTATAAAGAGAAAGAGGACCAATCTCCAACAGTCTCCCCTTTCTCACTCAATTACACAAGAGTGGAAACTCTTGCTACTCTTCCCCTTTATGGTGAAATGCTTACGTGCTGTTTTCTTCCTCCATAATTGCATCAAAATCCTTGGACATGAGCAACGACTACTAAGCTTTATTATTGGCAAAACAGAAATTTTATGACTATGCAAACAAGACTCATAGGATGCTTGTACAAACCCCCATCCTTTTCTCTCTTTTCCCCAGACTTCTTACTGTGTGTGACAGAACTATGACGAACGTCGTTTTACCCCTGTACTATGTCCTAGGTTTTTGGAGATTTTTACCACAAGCTGTAAAATTGTTTTGAACTCTTGATTCATCACTTTCAGTTTGCACAAGAGAAATTGTAAACATTTTTGCTC